GAGCCGCCCCGCGCCTCGCTGCTCCGCGCCCTGTTTAAGATGGAGCCGGCGGCAGCCGCCTCCGAAGTGCTGGGGGGAGCCTCGGAGTTCGTGAAAGGTGAGAACGGGCCGGGGAGCCCTCCCCGTCCCCTGGCCGCGGGGGTCCCGCTCGCCGGAGCCTCCCTCAAAAAGGAAACCCGCTGGCTTCTTTCCCGTCCTCCCCACCTCCCTCCCTCGGCTCCGTGGGCTTTCCTGCGTGCCTGGCTCGGCTTCGCCCCCCTTTGCCTGGCGGTTTTCGCGAGCTGCCTGCCCCTCGGGGGCTGCGGGGCACGCCTAAGCGGTTCCTTCCTCCTCTCTTTTCCGGTAAGAAGCGGGGCCGGCACCTGTTGCTACGTGCCGCCGTGTTCTGGGTCAGAAATCTCCCCCGCCCTCCCGAAGTCGCTCCCGCGGGGTGCCCGGCCGGTCGGAGCGGGACCGGGGCGGGGGGGTGCAGGGCCCGCGGGGGCAGCGGGTAACCGCGCTCCCGCCACCGCTCACGCAGGAGAAAAACGATCAGCGGTGCCTCTTCCGCTCCCGGGCCGCGGCGGGGCGGGCCGCGACGGGACGGGGCCGCAGGGTGCGGCGCCCACCGGCGGGGTGACAGGCGTGCCGCGGGGAAGTGGCGACCTGCTTTGTCCGTCCAACGCTGCTGCCCTCATCTCTCTTGCAGATCGGTTGTACTTTGCTACTCTACGAAACAAACCGAAGAGTACCGTAAATACCCACTACTTCTGCACCGATGAGGAACTGGTCTATGAAAAGTAAGTGTTGTGATCTGTTGTGTTTTGCGTATTCAAAGTGATCACCTGAGATTCTTCCCAACACACTTTAATACTATAGAGCATATTTTTGCCCCATTTAGCTACTCGCTCAAAGCATGAGTATAAAGTTAGCCTGAATATATTTATACATTAGCTGAAACTAGTTTAACAAGATTTGCTATTTAAAAAAAACTAAACACAAAAACAGCTGCAAGACCAGTTAAATGGCTTAAATTGTGGTTGAGCTAGGGGAAAGATATCTGAGCTTTGTAAGATTTGTTTATAAGGTGGAGAAGATCTCTTAAGACTAATTACATCTTATTAAATGGTGTCTTAAATAGAAGACTGTTTGGTATGAATAGCTGAGACAATAGGTTGTTTTATATGTATTTTACTGTATAGAGAGTATGAAGTGATCACCTTTTATATAGAATCATGAGAATGCAAAGCTTAAATGTGCTTTTGAAGAACATCTGCAACAGTCTGCAGAAGGTTTTGAGATTAGCACTTCCTGTTGGCTTTTGTAGCTTGAGAACAGCAGAAAAAGTATTTTCTGTGAAGTAAAAGCTTTGTGTGTTTGGAAGACGCTGATAGCACATAGAAGGTCAACAGTAAAATTGATTGTAGCGTGAATACTATTAAAGGACATAAAATGCACTAAACAAACAAAGTTATCTCTCTATGCTGTGGTTAAAAAGTAGTTGCTCTACACTGTGTTCCCAGATCAACTGTTTCGTGTGTGACGATATATCCAGCCACTTGACAAGGGGTCTGCTGCAGCACAAGTGAAACAAAAAAAACATGGTCCTGTTTTAACTATAACTTTCTTTCCATATGAGTTGAAGAACTTGTGAGCATCGACCATTCTTCCTTCCCGTCTCCAGTGACTTCAGTACTGCTTCTGTGAAGGTGTAAACCAATCTTCCTTGGTTTCTAGCTTACTTTCTATGCACAGCTTACAGTTTTAGGGTTTCTTTTCTACACGTTTTTGAGTCTTCATTATCTTAAGCTGTGTGTCTTCTACTGGAGTTCCCAATGATTCGTTCCCAAAGTTGACTCCTGTAATTAACTGCTTGGGTTGGGAGTAGGTTCTGTGATGATCATTAACTAGTTTAGGTTGGAAGGGACCTCAGGAGTACCCTAAGGCAAGGTTGACCTAATATTAAAAGCAGAATTCAACTGGAGAAGGTCCTGAGCAATTTGTGTTATATGAATATGTTCCACTTTCTCTAATGAAAGAAAAATTTGATCTTGTATCTCTTCTAAGACTTCTATGTTATGCTTGACCTGAGGTATTTTGTTTCTAATTCTTAATATGCTTCTAGGAAGGGTGAAGGAATCTTACGTGGGATTTGATCTTGGGGGTGGGAAGGGGGAGCAGTTCTGTACTCTGTTAGTTACAGATGATTGTACTAACCAAGGACTGTAACTGGGGTATTTTGTGTGAAGACAGTATCATATTTAAAAAAAAAAAAAGTACTGAGAAATTTGAGGGAGGGGAAAAAAGTGATTTTCTTTAACATGTATAAGGGAAATTCAGTAAGTATACTCCTTAACCCAATTACCTGTTAACCACATACCAGGGTGTAACTTGATACCAGATATAATTACAAGATAAGGGAAGGAAGCACAATTTCCTTTGTCTTCTAGGGCACATCTAAAGATTTTGGACATGTAACTCATGGTGCATTTTCTGAATTGATAGTTCCTAATCTATTTGGTCTTTTTTAAAGGCATCATCCTATATTTGATATCGTAATAGTACTCTCCCTTTTGTGCTCTCAAATTAAAATACTAAAACATAATATGAGGTAGAAATTAAGTGACAGTTACCAGGTGGTATGAATGAATTTTGTGTAATGACCTAACTCTCTTACATAACAGTGCTAAACTTTTCCCTGATATTCGTATTGCAGCACCCATCACTATCAGTGTATGCCATATTTGGTAGTAAAACCATGCCTAATTTTATTTTTATTTTTTTCCTCTCTTTTTTCCCTCTCATCTCCAAGGAAGTTTATATTGGCTCAGGGAAGTAAAAGCAGGTGCCAGTAGGGTTACCATTTTATATTTTTTTCAATATCTTTCTGAAATTGGAAAGCTAGAGGCAAAATGAGGGATAGAATGCAAGTCTCTTGGGTTTTGGGGAAATGCTGATTTTAGTATAGCTTCCCTTTTCCTTATGCTCATCAATGAGCTTGACATCAGTCTGTTATGTTTCACAAGCTGTACAGCAAAGTGAGGGGCCTGACATCAGGGGTTGTCTGTAAGTAGTAGTGGAGTGCAACTTTAATGCACCAGATCGGATCTTCTGCTCATTTTGTCAAAAATGCAGCTCGCTTTCTGAGAAAGCGATTAGAAATATTTGTTATATGATAGCAAAATAAACATTTGGAAGTGAGTTTTGAAGTGCAATAGCTCAGAACGGTGGTTCCCAGAGTCTTCATTCAAAATGGCCTGCCTGTGCTGTTCTTGCTGATCAGAATTTCATGGCCAGTTCTGCTTTTTAATCAAATGAGTTGTTCAGACTGTTACAAGGAGGAGGTTAGGAGATGTCTACTCAAGCGCAAAATCCTCAGCACTTGTGAGGTATGTAAGTAATTTTGTTAATATGACTGTTTATGGACTTAATTTGGTTTAGATGCATCATCCTAGTGACGAGACAAAGATACTTCATTGTGCATGGAAGTAAACTGCTTTTCTTTGGGCTGTTATTCTATTAACTTTAGCGATAACTCTTAAGTATGAAGTGTTACAGAAATTTATTTAGCTGACTTTACTGAGGTATCAATTTGCTTTCTCTGAAGCCATATACGATCTGAAAACCTCATGAATATGCAGTTTTGGGGTTGTCTGATTACAGAGGGCATGTTATTGGATCACATGGTACTTAAAATCTCACTGTCTCGCTTTCCTTTTTTTCCCCACTCTTGAAGAGACATAAGGAAGTAATAGTGCACATTAATAGTATACCCCATTTATTAAACAAAACAGCTGTAGCGCTAGAGCTAATGGCTTTGGAAGTTTTGGTCTGATAAATGCTGACTTGCTCTTGCAGTTTGTCACGTGATTTATCACTAAATTGTACACGAAGTGTGGTTATGTAATCTTGAGTACTTTAGCCTTCAGTTTTCACTTGAAGTTGTCAACTGTTCTAATGAATTCATAACACTGTCTTCACTTATTTAAACATTCACACTTTTAAAAATAATAAAGATAAGCTTAAATGCTTTTAAGAACATCTCAAATGCTAGCTGACTAGAACTCACTACTAGAACTGTCACTATTTTAGTTAAATGTGCTGCAATTTAACCTTGAACCTATTATGCTAGGGAAATGGTATGTAAATCCCTCAGTTGAGGGAACAAGAAACCTGAATGAATTTATCCAATTCTGAATTCTCTTTTTTGATTATTCTGTTTCTGTAAGATTTTGTCAGTCTCTCTCTGAAACTCTCCGAGGTCCCTCCTGAGAAAGTCTGCACTACTACTTATAAGGAAATACAATCTTTCAGGGTAATGTGGTGCAGGTAATTATTACTTCAGGAAAATTGAGTTAATGAGAAATAATCCAGCTTGATGAAGACTGTCATTTGGCAAATAGACAAGCCTTGCCTTGGCAAGACCTCAATTAATGAGTTAGGCACTAGTAAGGAGCTTTTTATTTTCTAAGAATAGCGTCTTTCACATTTCACCTTTCAGTAAACAGATCTGGGTTGAGAATACTACACTTGACTGCTTAACTTGGCTTTCACATATTTTTATCAAAGCAACTTTTTATGTCCTTTTTATTGTTGAGTAGTTTTCTCAAACAAAACTAAAATCTAGATGATGAGAAACAGGAATCTCTTACTGATAAATTATAATGGCAGCTTTCATAAATCATAACATTTTTATTCAGTCATTTGTTCTGACTTCGGATCTCTTGTATAAACAGCTTTTGCAGATCTAGTCTTTGACATCTTGTGAGCAGCTGTAAAAGTAATTAATATGATATTCTCTGTACATCCTATGTTTTACACTAAAACTTTCTTTCAAGCCATGGTATGTTACTTGCCCGTTTCACATTAGTCTTAATGTTAGCTACTTCTTTGAGTTCAAGCAGCAGTAGAATAAGACTCTCAATTGCTTAGCTACAACAATACTAAATGAGTACTGTTTGGACTTTGACTTGTAGGACTCACTTCCTTCACTGCATGTGTATATGCAAAGAAGCAGTTTCTCTTTCCTGTGAGAAGAGTAAGGGTTAACTTGTTTATTTTTACTTTGGCTAAATGCTTCTTTTCTGTGGCTATCCAGTAACAGTACTTGCACAGGAAACCTGAACTTCTCCATCATTCTGTGGCTTATATCATTTGAAAGGAAAACGAAAACTTAAACTTAGCCTTGTTAAAACAAACAGAGCTGTCTCTTCACACAGAGAACAGGGAGTTCCTTGTTCACATCAGTAGCTTTTTGAAGACTTGAACTTGACTATCAGATGACCAAGATAACTTAGTAAGCTGCAGTCCACAAAAAAAAAAAGGAAATTTCCCAACTTGTAACTTCTATTATTGTGAATATAAATACAGAGCAGAAAAACTTCATATACTAATACCAACTTCTGTATGTCTAATTCTTACAGATGAGTATTAAGAATAGCACTCCACCTTTATTTTGTTTTGCACCTTAGAAGGAGAGATTTTAAATTCTCTGCAAACAAGAAAATCAGAAGATCTCAGAACTGAGTGTCAACTTTTCCATAAGACATGAACTACTGACATAATTTTATATTTGAAACTTGTAAAGTGCTATCCCTTAACACCCGTGGTATTCTTTCCAGTCCGACAGTTTCATAAATTTTATACCTACACCTTGCTTTACCATCTCTGTCTTCACTTCTTCGTATGGAAAAGATAAAAGCAATTGCCAAAAATATTGAGGAATTTTTTTTGTTTGCAGTAAATGGGTACCGGGATAAAACAGATCTGTTTTCTAGGCTCCAGTTTTACATTGGACGGG